TACCGCTGAGAAACGCCGCAAGTTGGTAAAAACACCTGGGATCGGTGGCTCAAACACTGGTGGAAAACCCAACTGGAGGGAGAGTGTATTTTCAGAGAGACCTGCAGGAGCAATGGCCATTTGTTTCTGGGATTATGAGCTGTCGGAGAAATGGGCTTTCAGTCCAATGGGACATTTTTCGGACTAATGGAACTTCGGAATTTTGGGCTGTTGGAACAATGGCATGGCACCAGTTAGCCACCACTGCTCTCCCCATAGGAAAACAATGGCACAGCCAGTGCAGAGTGCTTTTACCGCTGATCACTGTGGGCGACTTAAGGAAAAACTTCAATTCTCTCTCCTTTTTACCCTACATGAGTTCTTTCTTTTGGGACGTCAGAAACTCCAGAGTAGTTATCTTGTATTCTGTTGGGTACTGTGTCTTGTCATGGTGTTGTTTCTGTGCTATGCCATGCTCTGCTTTGGAGGTCACAAAGATTTAAGGACTTTGAATGCACTGCTCTGCCTGACCTAGTTTTATTGAAATTTCCCATTCTCTGCAAGAAGTAGCAGTTCTAGGTATCTGAAATTTATGTTGGCTTTGTTTCAGAAGCAGGAAAGAAAAGAAAGTTAAAAAAACATCGAAGAGTTTCTGAAGTTGGAGGGACATTAATGAATAATATTTCTGGGTGGATAAATATAGATGGCAAGAATATTTCAAAGGGAAACAAATTGTTTCCTGTCTTTGTATGTAAATTATTATGAAGAATTGCTGCACAACATTTGCATCATTCCCTCAGGATATTCACAGCACCAAGAACTAAAGCAAAACTGTTGGTTGGTGCTCCTGTTTTAGAGACGCTGCTACCCAGAAATAGAAGTGAAGAGTATCTCCTCTCTGTATCTGGCCAGTGGCCCACCTTCAGGTCTGGAGCTTTAACCTTCAGAGACTACTGCTGCTGGTGAGGCTTGGGTTTGGCTGAGCTGAGCTTGCTGGGAAATCAGCCAGACAAAGAGATGTGTGGGTAGATGAGCAGAATGAAGATTTCAAGTTTCCTCTGGAAAAAGAGGATATTGTTTGGGTGGAATAGATATTAGAAATGATTGTGGCCCTTTGTGTATTTCTTTTTTTTGTGCAGACAAAGAACAGAGCTTCTGGTGTAAGACAGCTGTCTGTGTAACACTCCACAAGAAATAACTGAGTAGTTACCAAATTAGGAAATAACTGCTGATTAATAAAATGATAACAGGTAGATTTTAAATAACTGTGAATCAAGCATTATATTCTATGTAACTTGTGAACAGACTTCTAGATATGTTAATTAATTACTGTGTAGTAATTAGTTCCTAGACATCTGTGAATCTGCATACTGACCAATCTCATAAGCAGCTGTCAGCCCAGAGCTTAGCATAAAGACTTGAATCAAAGGGAAACCAATCCCCCAAAAACAATGCTGGGCTTTGAAGCCATTTTTGACATAGTGGCCAAGCTGTGGAATTACAGCGTCCGTGTCCATTGTGTAAAGTGACTCGTCCCACCATCATGATTTGATCCATTTGGTCCAATAACATTTCAAAAGTCTGGAAGACTCATTTTTTCCTCATTCATATTAGCGGAGCGCCAAACCAGAAGTTAGCCACTCGGCCAGCAGGAGTCTCTTGTGTGCTTGCTCTGTCGGGATCCAGGCCCCCAGAAATGCAGCTCAGTCTTGCTTCCAGTTTGTCCCAGTGGACACTCATGGTATTGCAGCAAAAAAACAATCCCCTGAGGCCCAGAATGCATTTTCCCCATAGGCAACCACTTTAAAAGCAAAACTGTTGACAGGACACTTCAAACTGCAAACATGGTCAGCTTTGACTTTTTCTATTACGAAATTTTGATCTATGGAGGTTTTATAGTTGTAAAACTTTCCTCGAGCCAAGAAAAACAATTTAAAAATCTATGACATCATCAAAATGTCAAATCTATGAGCCAAGTGGGAACTTGGAGGAGAAACACTACTGAGCATATATAATAGGCTGCACATGGTAAAAGTAAATCTTGAAGCTATAAACTTTTTCTTTTTCTATATGTGCAGTTTTGGGGTGTAGGGTCCAGTATCTAGTTATTATATCTAGTCATTGAGTTATTATCTAGTTCATCACACACATGAACGCAGTGCCCAGAGAGGCAGTCAGAGCCACAGGCTACAGTGAGGCTAAAAACAGAGCTCAAATGACGTTTTTCCAAACAACTTTTATGTCTGGGCTTCAGGAACACTTGGATCACTACAGATGAACAGTATGGAGATATTTAGTGGTTTCAATTATGTGTTTTTGGACATTTGAATCTGGGGCGCCGTAAGCCTGCATTAGGTGGAGTTGTGTTTGCTACCCCCTCTCCCCTTGGATCTCTGCAAGGGATGTGAGGACTCTAAAACTTCACCTGAGCCTCCCTAGGCATATGGGTGAGTAGATAATGGCTGAATTTTCATTTTTGGGTGCACTATCCCTTTAATATCACTTGCAATCTGTATACAGTGGTCCCTGGCTTTCTCATTCTCAATCCCAGCAAACTGATCCCTGAGCAGCCCCAAAACAAAAGCAACATAAATGAGTGACAACAAATTTTTATTTCTTTTTATCCCCATTGTCAGTTCTACTTGACCAAAGACAGTTTGTTAAAAACAGGCCGTGCCTTATTGAACTAGCCTTGAGAAAATAATCATTTCTCCTTCTCTTCCACATTTCCACTTCCACCTCTCTGTGATTTTTCTCTGTAATGAGAATCAAAAGTCTGTCTGTCTGCTTCTTTGTTCGGTCCACACATGCTCAGTGAGAAAGGCTGCCTGGTTACAGTAACGTTAGAAACGGCCTTATTGTCTGCATCACTCATTGTCTCCTCTTCTTTCTTTGTGTGTTGCCTTCGGTGACAACACTTGACAACGGTGACAACAGTTTACTTTGACTTATAGTCAAAACAGCCCAACTCATTTGAATCAGAGACGGATCTTGTGGTCTCATTTGCCTGGGTGATGCATCAGCTCTGTAGAGCCCAGGTGTCCATGGGCCATCTCATTGTTTCATTGTGGCGCTTTGAATGTTTGAGATGAGCTTAAAGTGTTTCTTGGGTCTTGATGGACAAAACATACACAATCTCACATATACTTTTTTTAAACCAGTAGGGTCTATTTCAAAAAAATTAATAATAATTGATTTCCTGTAACATAATTACAGGAAATCAAGCTGTAGATAAAGACAGATGGTGCTTTTGTTTGCAAGTAATTGTGCATTCATAGAAGTAAGACAGGAAAGTGGGACATTAGCCAACTTCTTGATGATTTGCCACAGCCCAGTCACCAGAACACCAAAACACTGGCAGAATATGTTTCTACAAACTACAGATACAGTACATTTACATATTTGTATGTTCCTTATGTATCATATTAACGTTTCTAAAGTAACTTAGTTCTTACTACATGGACATGAGCTGACTTTGTGATCCAGAGGTGGAGGAGATGGTGGATGGCGTTATATCTAAGTGAGACAGTTGCCAAGCTGCAGACCATGGTTTAAGACCAACAAACAAGAAAACTGATGCATTACTGAGACATCGCAGCATTTCCAGCTGTGATTGTAGCACCAAAACGTGTATTTTAAGCCAAAACATGATCTTTTCCTAACCATAACCAAGTGTTTTCGTGCCTAAACCTAACCACATGCTGACCACAGTCTTGTTGAATCGTAAAGAAACTTCAAATAGCGAACATACAAGGCCAATATTTATTCTGCCTATTGGGTTGTAGACATGATGCATTCTGGACTTTGCCAAGTGATTTGAATAAGACATATAAAACCTTCAAGCTATATACAATAAATACTGATATGAGTAACACTGATATTACTGCTACTATGCACTACTATTTTTATTTGATTAATTCTAACTTTTATATTAGCTAGTTAGCAACTTAAAGGCCCAAAATGTAGAATGTATATATATATGGCTGACATATATTTATTTTTGTTTTATATATGTCGTATGACATCACCTTTATCTTTAGCTGAAATAGCTGTTTTTCTCTGTGTGATCTGATCTTCTTAAACCCTGGCCACAGAGACTATCTGTAAAAGAAGGGGATGACTTTGGCCGGAGAGGCAGAGGATTACTTTACCTGCTAAAAAAGAAGGCGCATGTGGGAGTCCCAACTATCTTTAATGGGATCTCCAGTCTGAGGCTGAGTTGTGATTGATGGCTCGCACAGATTATCTTGCAGCGTGGAGAGAATGCAGATTCTATCTGTTAACGTGTCGTGTTTGAAATGTTTAATATGTTCAAACTGATGTGCGGACATGTCCTGAAGGGTATGATAATTCTGACCTAATTCTGGCACTTCCTGACCTTTAATGAATGCTAGGCTAATTAACATACCCATTTATCTTAAAACACATTTATTCACATTCACTCCTGGACTGGACAGACAGCTGTGTGTCCAGATGTGTTTTCCCTTTTTTCTGTCTCTGTGTGCCAATAAGCGAACATGCTTAACTTGTTCCAAATCAATTAACCTGACTGAGAACAGATGCAGGAGTTGGCACAGTGCATGGGAAACACATAATTCCCAAATATTGCCACTTACAGTATGCAACTCTGGTCTGATCAGCTGTTTTTTGGCAATGTTTGCAAGAACTTCAAGTTTTCTGAATTAACAAGTGAGTTGATTGCTGGAGTCACATCAATTTACCAGCTTGATCAGCTCAGAGGAGATTATATTCATTTGTTAATTTAGCTGACAACAGCACATAGTTGTATAGCAGCCCAAACTCAGTGATTGTTTTTTTGTATTTACATTTACTTAGTTCTGGTATTTGATAATGCACAGTGGATTCATGTGAATATTCATAGCAATAATACAAGTTCCTGCATGATTAAAGGACTTGGCATCTAATTGTTCACTAAGAGACACAGCAGGAAATTTGTCATGTGTGATGCCATTATTTCAAAATCAGTTGGGATTAGTGTTTCAGTGTGTTGGCAGTCTTACCAGGGCCTTGGTCTCCTCCTCATCTTTGTAATACTGGAGCTGGTCCCCTCGCAGAACAAACCAGCGACTGTGCCAAGTCTTGACAAAACCTCCTTGCTTCCTGAGCCACCCACACCTGATGACACTCGGCCGTCCCTGCTTCTGGGTCTCTGTGCTGGCCTGACCTCCACCGCGCTGGGGACTGCTGTGGGACATGCACTGGTCGTCCATTAGAGCAACTCTAATCTGCAAAAAGGCAAAACAGTTTACAAATCTGTTCACATTTACAGAAGTTGCAAGTTCCAAGTAGGCAATAGGTAAACAAATACATTCTGCAGCATATTACAAACAGATGAAGCTGAATTCATAAATGCTCTCTTTTCAGACTCAGTCCAGCTACTTAGAACAGAAAAGAAGTCCAGTGACTCTTAAGCTTAAATGCCTGCACGATTTCAACCAAAAGAGGAATGTACTTTCAATATAGGTGTAATTATTACAGTCATTACTGTCCAACATAAAAACTACTCATTTGGTTGATTCAATGAAAACCATTTTTCCTAATGTGGAAAAAATCTGAGTTGAGAGTTTATTTTTTTTAATGGAGTTTTCAGCTGTGACAAAATGCTCAACTTTTCTCTTACAACACCTCAAATAACACCTAAACTATCTGCCCGGCTAGATACCACTTGAGGCTTTTTGTGTGTGTGTGTTTGGAGGAATATTAAAGTGTTGTTTATTTGCTGTGGTTTTTCCCGTCATGAACCATTATGGAACTTGAGGCAGACAGAGCTGAGTGTTGAGTGAGTGCAAGGAGACAAGGGCAGAAGGGGAAGTGTGGGAGGAGGTATTCATAAACCAGATAACAAGACCACAGGCCAAACCTCTAATCTCTTTTATCTACTTCTTGTGTCACCCACCTACATAAGTTGGCCCGCCAGTCTTTTTCTTTTCTCCGTGCATTTTGTCTCTCCATCTCTTTGCACCCTCAACCTTTGTTGAACTGTTTTGAAATTTTGTTATGACAGAGCCCTTATTATCAAAGTAGATAAAATCTGATCTGGAGTCTGCACTGTATAGTTATATTTCAGCAACTAAAACCATTGTAAAGGTTAGAAAGATCTAACAATTTTTTAGCTCACTAGCAACATGACTCTATGGATGGTGATGTCAGTCAGTCAGTCCAGCATTTTGGCCCAGACTTAAACATCTGAACTGCCAGGAAATTATAGATTTATGCAGAGTCCACACTACAAGGAACACAGAAACAGGCTACAATTCATTTTCAATGGAAGCTGGTGACATGAAGCCGTCACTGCAGATGGGTGTGATGCACAAATCAAAGTTAAGCTGGCCTCAACTCATTAATGACGCGGTGAAGTGTCAGCCAATCATGTTTTCTTGTTTCAAGCTGTGGTGCTGTGTTATTTAGCTTAGTTAGCTGACGCTGTGATAGCTTTCTGTGCATTGCCATGCACACAGGGATGCAATGGGGCGGTGAAATGGGGTTCAGACATGAAAGAAAAGCATATTTTTTGATCAAATACAAACTTTAGATGAAGTTCAGTCAAGGTGCTTGTGGCAAGCAGCAGGCACACAGAAGCCCTATAACTACATTAACGAGCGCCTGGTTAGCGCTTCAAAGATGACTTGGTGATGGTGCAGCTGACCAGGCTGTTCCGTTGTTGCTTGTAGTGTGAACACGGCAGTAAACAGTTCTCAAGGATGAATTCTATTGACCTTTCCCTAAGGTTCGCATGTATGGTTTTAAGTGAAATGTCTCGACAACCACTGGATGGATAGAGTTTTCTCACAGCAGACAATTTATTATGTGATAGTAGGAAAAACACAGGTGATACTACAAACACTAACGTTGTCTCAGTGAGAGTGACACTGAGCCAGCATGCAGGATGTCTGGAACCTGAAATGAAAGTAGCTAAATGGAATTCAGCCATCATTAATCTTAGTATTTACACCTGTGCTTCTCCTACTGTGACAAGTCAGAATATCTTATCTAGTATCACATCTAGTAGGAAAAACACAGGTGAAATTGAAAACATCCTAGTAAGCTATCCCAGAGCCACGATATGGCTGTAGACTAGGGTGTTTTCATATCTATGGTTTGTTTGCTCTGATCCAAATCAGGGACCTATCTGTTGAAGTGTTGCATATTACCTCGTGTTTGCTTTGTGTTCACGCAGCAGCATTTACAAGCAGATCAAAATTTGTGAAATGCAAAATCTAATTGTTCAGAATTTCCATGTGGGAAAACTACAGAAAGTAAACACGAGTAAAAGGAAAGAATACAGTCTGAAAATAAGACACAACTGGAATAGTTCCAGTGAATGTTTGCACTGGAGTTGCTGAAAGCCCATATAGAGACAAGACAGTTCAGGAGGAGACATGCATTAATCCTCCTGGATTGTGATATGCTCATCAGCCAAAGATATTCCCAAAGATCTATGAGGTATGCCCATGGTGTTTATCACAGCCTACCTGGTTAGCGCTGATATGAACAGAGAGAGTGGGCTCTTTTGTAGCCAAGGTACATACAAGCACTGCAGCGTGGCTACAGCAGCTGATTTAAACCAAAAAGGGACAATGCTTCCACCATTTGGGCGAGCTCAAGGTCAGATTATGTCTCCACCACAAACAAACCATACCAAATTGCACCAGAGTTTGTTTGTAACCAGACTGAGACCACCTCTTCAACAAGGTCTTGGTCCAGTTATTTTGGTCCCACGCTAGTGTGATTACTCTGTTCACCTGCCCAAACAAACTGCACCTCGGGGATAAACATTCCAGGATTTGATTCAACCAAACTAAACAAGGCAGGTGTGGAAACACCCCAAACTGTAGTGCACTTGGAAGCAAACCGAGACCCATGTTTTTAGGCGCATCAGAGTTTGGTTGTTTGGTCTGCACCAGAGCTCAAATGAGCTTTTACAACACCCCAAACAATGTGGAGTGTCTGATGAAATGCTCCAGGGTTTGGTTGAAACAGCAAACAGCTTAGGTGTGAAAGCAGCCCAAGGTCTTGGTTAAAGTTATGTGACTGTCACTGTATTGGCCTGTTGTGAAACACTAAGGTGAACCCACAGCACAAGATAGCCACAATATATCTGATTCCAAAAACTGATCTACTTTTGGATGCTCCTTTCTACAACAGAGTCAAAGGTCAGTCTCACCTAAACAGAAGTGCCCTTAGTAGTGATTCTTTGTCTTGTTCAAAGGCGCATCAGTAGGGGAAGCACTGTTAAAAGTCAAGTGTGTATGATTAAGTGGCATCAGATTGCAACCAACTGAAACTTCTCCCGTTTGCAAAGCGTGCTGGAGAACTACAATGGCCAACGCAAAAACGTGAATAGCCCTCAAGAGCCAGAGCCTAGAGCCAGCATTTGGTTTGTCCATTCTAGGCTACTGTACGAACAACATGGCTGACTCTGTGGAAGAGGACCCACTCTGTGTCCAGACATAAAGAGCTCATTGTAAGGTTACAAAAACACAGTTCTTAGTTTTTTAGTTCCTATATATCCCCCTAAATCCTACACACTGGACTTCAAATGTATATGGGAGGTTGCCCTTGACCCTCTGAAGAAGAGGGTAGCCCCCTTGCTTCCCAACAGTTAGGAAAAGGTCACATCCTCATATATAGACAAATATCATTAGCTGGATCTCAAACTCTCACACACATCAACACATTTAACACACACACGAGTGCACTCATAAACACCAGGGCACATACAATAAATCAAACTCCACATATTGTTTCCATACACATAATAGTGTATTTAAACCTCATCACTCAGTGACATATGCTACCACTGCTACAGACTGCTGCTGTCAGCTTAAAGCATTGCCATGTTATCAGTGGCTCTGGCTGAGCTTTCATTGGTGAAAGTCCAAACAGCCCACAGGTCCAGATGAGGACCAGATGCGGCCCAGCAGTGTTCCAGGCAGCAGTGGAGCAAGTGCAGCAGGGCTGCTTTGGTGATTTCAAAACTTTCTTTGGCTCCATCATAAACACAGTCCAAGTGTGTCCTCTATGCATCTGCATGCACAAACATGCTCACTGCTCTGCATTCCTATAGGATAAAAACAATTTTTCACCTGTTTTGTATTGTGGTGGCTACGTTATTATCTTTTGTCCATCTCAACATAATCTTTGCTCCACTCTCATGCTAGATCTATGTGGGGAGAAAGTGTACAGTGCTCTTATTTCAGCAGCAGTGAAAGCTATCATCTGAGCTGAGTTCATCCAAGGGAAAATACTTCATATTGTGGGATCATTTAACACTAATATTAACGGGAATAACCCCTGTGTCCCTGAGGCTCCTTACACACTTTATTCTCTTAGATTAAACAATCTGACACATACACACACACACACACACACACACACACACACACACAGCATAAATCACAGTTTAGGGTTAATACATCCATCTGTTGATGGAGTCACCTGCTGTGTTGCCAGTCTGGTGCCACAGCCCCTTTACAATTTCATGCCTCCTGCACAGAGCCTAGTTAACAGCACTGCTGGGACTGGCCTGTACTGCTACGAAGTGTAATGGTAAATAACTCAGTGGTTTCTTAATGTGAGTAACTCGCAGCTAGCTGAGAGAAGAAACACTATTTAAAATTTACATTACACTGTGGTCTAGTCCAGTGGTAATAAATCGCCACACAGGGATAGAAGGCATAATCATTACTAAATCTATAAATCAGCAGACAAATGGAATAAAATTAGTGGAAAAGTTAGTGGTTCTTTGGCCCCATGCAGGAACGGCATGATGAATTATGACCTTTCGAGAGTTACTCATTTTAATTTTTATGTTCCTGCTAAAAGCCAGTTTGTGGGTTCAAGCAGACAGATCTAACAGATTCGTGGGGAAATGATGTGTTAACAACAGCCATAAAGTAATGAATCCTATAATTCATGAACAATATGGAGATGAACTGTGGTGGAATAAGCAACTTTTAACAGGCACTGTAGGCAGACAAGGGGAGAACACATATAGTACTTTTTGTCTTTTATCCACGCGGTGGTGTGGGTCAGTTGGTCCATCACTTTACTCCAGACTGAATGTCTCAACAACAATTGGCTTGCCAAGTTTGTACATATATTCATGGTCCCCAGATGATGGATCCTGATCACTTTGGTGATCCCTTAACTTTTCCTCTAGCACCATCCTGGTTGCCAGAAGAAAATGTTGGTATTGTATGTGTCGTATCAACATCTCTATGGT